GTTTTGGGTTTTGAGTTTTTTTTTTTTTCCCACCCAACACTAGCCACCACCCGCCACCATTTTCAACCACCACCACCCCCCCCCCACCACCCCCTGCCACCATCACTCACCACCCCCCTACCAGCCAGCTGTCTTCCACCACCACCCACTACCCGCCACCATCATCCACCTACCACCACCCGCTACCCACCACCCACCGTCACCACTTTCCACCACCGTCTTTCGCCGCCACTTGTCATCACTTGCCATTTCTTACTCTTTTTTATATTTTTAAATTTTTTTAAAATTTTTGTCAATTACCAAACGCGTTTATAGTTTATGTTTTTCTAAAAATAAACAAAAAATAAACAAAAACCAGTTTATAAATTTTTTGTAAATATAAACTGAAAACATAAACGTTACCAAACACAAAATTTTTTTGTAAATATAAACTGAAAACGTAAACGTTACCAAACACACTATTTGATTAATTAGAATGAGATGACATTGAATGATTATTCCTCAGGCATTCATACACAGGATTTAAATTGACCAAATAAAAAATTCAAGATTTATTTTGTTACAAATACCTTTTTTTTGTTTTTTTGTTTTTGTTTTTGGAGGGGGGGCAGGGATAACTATATGCCTTTATTAGATTTTAATTATGCGTTCGAATTCTCTACAAAAATTGAAGATATAATAGTCAAAAGTTAAAGACATGTTTGATTAATAGAATTATAATATTTGATTGAGATGGTTAGTCTATGTACTCACAATCCCATATTTGATTGCAAATTTTATTCATCAACTTATATGTATGGCGAACATTCAATCCAACAAAATTGACAAAATTTTAATATTGAGAGAAGTTAAGAATCATAATTTCAAGTATGAAAGAAAAAAAAATGAATACATAATAAATGGTTATCTCTCTAATTTAATTTGATAACTAATCATACACTAATTCAAGAGATTATTAATCATTTCATTATTAATTATGGAAATCAAATAAGACCTAATTTCACCACGTAAGCCCAAAATTTACACTTCCCAAACTTAACTAACCATAAAGGGGTCTAAACAGCTCAAATATTAACAAACCGTCCACCCGCTCTTATAAGGAAATGATAACTCAACCAAGCCAAAGAAAGCAATTTGCACTCAATCTTGAACTTGCAAATGATCCTATCAACCCAAGACAAAAGGTCACCCTAACACATATTCAGCGCTGTAATTACTTCCAAAACTTCCCCTTAAATCTCTTAACACCTCACTGCCACCCAACTCAAAATATACATATGAAATGAGCTGCCCTAGTATAACTACCATATCTCCCAATTCTAATCAAACAAGATATCAACATCTCGGGTTCATAACCCTCACCGCATAGATACAAAATACTCCTATTTTGAGGACAATAGTTGCAAAATGAACCCTACCTTCAATATAGGAAACACACAACAAACCACATCAACACACTTCTGTACACCGCCAACCCAAAACAAAAGTGAATCCATAATTAAAAGCAACCACCATAAAACAAAACTAACTGCCCTCAGTAGACTAGGAATAATTTTCTATAAAGAAACTCAAGTCACTCCATGCCAACCACTCTTAACTATCCCAAACACCAAAACTATCAACTCCCAATGACCTGATAAGGAATTCTTAAAGGTGTACTAAGGACACCGATTCATCTAACCCACTTCTTGGTATGATAACAACAACACCTTACCCTACACCAACCTATTAGACTCACGCTTTATCCGTTCAGCCACTCTCCTTACTTAGCACCAAAACAACAATACTCCAACACCAAACACCCTTATATGGGGTTCTACAACCTCTCCCATACCCTCTTAAGTCTGAAGTGGACTCTTGGGGCCAAAACCCCCAATTCCCCTTCACAAAACAATATACACCACCAATACAAAATCACGTACAACCACACTACACCAAAGACCGATGAGGTCCATGATAGGCTTACTACCCACACCAATCTACATACATCTGATGACAACCACAACACTACTCATGTCACTGCAAGACATAACCCTTTTGCCCTCCCAAGAAGCCTCCACTACAATAAATTAAAACTTATACCTTTAACATAAGCCAGTATCAACCAAACTGAACATACTGACTAGTATAACTCCACCCTCGCAATATTCTAACTAATCATAATGACCCTCAAAATACCCTTCTTCCACAACTAACTCTACCATCCACCCATTCTAAATCAATTTCAACCAAACACAAATTATTTAACATAACGAACAATCCCTAAATCAAAATAAGGCTCTCCGGCCATCACATTCATAAGTCAAAACGCAATAGTTCATACACGTCAATATGAAAATTTCTAAATTCCACAACAACTCATCACATTAAGGAAAACTCAAAATCACAATGTATCCAACTCATAAAATAAATAACCCACCATATATACATACATAAACAAAAATCATTTTCCTTTCAACGGTCCACACCGTACCGGTTACAAAACAAAACGACTACATAATAATTACAACCATTTGCCCTCCAGTCACAAGACAAAACAACCAAAACTAATTACCAAAAACAGTTATCCCTTCGCCACTATCACTATCACATTCCTAACCAGACAAGGACAAGAGCTATGATGGGTTATTCTCAACCCCCGGAACCCTCCAAGAATTATGATGCC